TACTAGTAAGGCACTTGTTACTAGTAGCGATGCACTTGTTCCTAGTATCTTCTTGTTACTACTAGTAAGGCACTTGTTACTAGTAGCGATGCACTTGTTCCTAGTAGTTTCTTGTTACTACTAGTAAGGCACTTGTTACTAGTAGCGATGCAGCGATGCACTTGTTCCTAGTAGCTTCTTGTTCCTAGTAGCGAATTGGGGCGTCGTGCGCCACGGTGGATTTCCGGCGTCATCGATGCGAACGGGAGGTGAGCGTGGCGCCACGGGACGTCGCTTCGTTGCGAACAATGGTCGCGTCCTGGTCGCCACGAACTGACGAACTGTGGGACCTCGCACCAAATTCACGTGCCTCAACAAAGGAACTTCTCGCTTGCATCGCGGAGCCAAAAACTGGGATCTTGTGCTTCCTTCGAAAGGATCGTCACCATCCTGACCGTCTTGGCGCCCAGGCCATGGTGGGCGTGACCCACACTGAGCCAGTCTCCGGATCGAACTCCGAGGCATAGACACCTGCCAGGGGGAAGGTGCAAGAGAAGACAGATGAATCCTTCCCAGCCAGGATCTTAGATGAATATATGATAAACAAGTGTAGCATTGAGCCTACGGATTCAGCCCAGCCATACAAGTTGAGCTGCAACTGAAGAAGTTCCAGAGTCTTCTAGATGCTCTTTCTCCGACGCTCTATACTCAACAGTTCTTTTTGTGTTTCCGAGACCTTCAAGTGATGTTTGTCTGGCGCAACAAAGTTCTGATGCAACTTGAGGAAGGTTGGCAGCACGTCGCACGTGTTTGCTATCATTGAGGCATCAGGAGTCTTTTGCCATGTTTGACAAACGACCACTCAACAAGCAAGAATTGCAAACCAACCACCACACACAACCTCGTGTTGGAAGTCATGATGACAGCTTCATGTTGAGATACTATTATATGACAACATATATATATATATGGAACTATATAGGTTCAAGCACCAATCAAATTAAGAACCCACTCTTGGGCATGAAGCATTAGGTTGGAGTCCATCGCTCTGAGGTTGGAGGCCATCGCAAAGTCAAGAGTTCACTGTTGGACATGAAGCATTACACCTGTGAACACTTGTTTCGACTTGGTGTCGCTCATGCCTTTGCAAGAATCAAAGCAAGAATGGCTCTCCAAGTGCATCAAGTGCATATCGCCCCTCGCCTGTGGAGTCTTCGTTCAACGGCACATAGATGCCACAGAGTGTCCATGTGAAGGTCTGCGTGTCTTCGAGCAAGGCCGGTGGCACCAGGCTGCTGGTGTCCGCCACGTCGCGCACATTGCGAACTGCACCGGTGACCATCTCAGTGCGGGAGCGATCCAAAGACCACATGAGCGTCTGCCCAAACGCAGCAAGGTTTTCGCTTTTGAGGGGGCCTATCGCAGGTTACAGGTTCTAGCCTAATTCCTGAAATTCAGCATTGACATGAGCATTGGCCAGGAATCCAGTGCGAAAAGGATCAGTTTTTCCCTCGAAACACACGAACATTGCGTTGTAGAAAATCATTCCACCAGAATCCACCAGACCTTTTCAGTCACAAATCATTCCGTCTGAGACCTTTTTGGCTGAGTGTCGCATTGTAGGTAGGTGCTATTGTGCAGCGAGATGACGCAAGCAGCCGCAAACTCGCCCACGGTGATCTGCGTGGAGGTGTCATTGCTCACCTTGGAGACAGCCGACGGCCCCACGAAACCCACGTTTTTCAGCTCCTCTCAAAGCCAAGACTCACCACGATCGAAAAAGGAACTGGCTTGCTGTGCTAGTTTATTTTGTATCAAAGCAAGCCCCAAAAGAAAAAGGAGTCGCCAGAGTCGCGCTGTGTCTGGCCGGGGAACAAATTGGATCGATTCCAGATGACTCGCTTGGCAGCTGGGCTCTGAAAAGTAAAGGCCCCAGAAGCTCACGTAGCGCGATAGCCCCACATCCTTAAGGAGATCTTTTTAGATCTGGAAGGTACTCAAAGGAATTCCCACTCGGCTTTGCCCTCCAAGGGTCATTGATGATGGTGGGATCCAGTTTTTCGATGATGGGACGCGGGAAATTGATCTTGCCCACCATCTCGGTTTGCCCCTCCAGGTCCTCAGCCACAGGAAGTGGGAGGAAACGGCTGAACCCTATGGCGTCTGAGCAAAGGAGCGCTGCAGTGTCGAATTGGCAGTGCATGACTGAACATTTAGTTGACATAGTTCTAAGATTCTAAGATGTTCTATTACTGTAACTTCGCTGTTAAGAGCGATGGCCTCCAACCTATTTCTTGAAAACGCAACGATTTCCCAATGAAAGGTCAAGAGGCTCCCAAATAAAGCTTCACATTCGGCTCTCGCGGCAAGCAGGTGATATCCAAGCAGGGCTCCACTTCGCATTGCAAATAGGTGTCGTTGATCCAAGTGATGCTTTGACCTCACTTCCCATAAGAGCAGTGATGCCCACAGTCCAAGCGAAAGGTGGCATTTCTGCCGGGCGAAAGGTTCCACCATCCTTCACGTTTGCTTGTGCAGAAATCGACCGCAAATGACATTCTCGGGCCGCGCTCGAAATCTACTAGTAGTGCCCTTGTTACTACTAGTAAGGCACCTTGCTACTGGTAGCTTCTAGCCACTAGTAGTAATGCTCTTGTTACTAGTAGCGATGCCCTTGTTACTAGTAGCTTCTAGCTGAGTGCAAGAAGGACTCAGGTCCAACGAACTTGATTCCAAGATGCATAACTGCACACCATCGCAGGAGCCAGATGGTGACACCAACTCCACCTTGTAACCTGACTGGCCGCAGGAGCACGCCAGCACGCCAGCACGCGGCACGTGAACGCACTGGCATTTATGAGGATTCCAGGTCACCAAGGAAGGAGTCTCTCTGCTGACAGCAGTGCGAACGAGGAGCCTGGTACTGCTCCGCCCTGGAGCTTTAGGTTCCCCACTTGAGGGAAGATCTCCCCAGTTGTGATGTAGATGTAGGCGGGAAAGGTCTCAGGCCATCTGAGAGATTGCACACAGAAACCTTCTTCACCTTTTTTTCTGTAACTGTATATAGCTACAGCTGGCGAATACGAAAGCATCAAATACTTAAGAATTGGAGAAACAACAACATATATGATAACCTTAAGCTTGTAGATGAACTGCTACTTTGGACCAATGAAATGAAACGCTATGAAGTCGCCTTGGTTGGTAAGAGGTAGATTTGAACTTCACTGCAGTGCGTTGACAGTGCATGTTGTCAATGCTCCATGCCGGGAGAACATGGTGCATCTCTTGATGAAACTTGCAAGCACTGTCCAAGTTGCATTCACAATCTTTCCCAGGTCCAATATACCTGAGGCAAAAATCCACAAATGTCCAAAGGACACTACGCATAGATTGCGTCATGCGAAACTGTGAGAAATTTTTGGTCGATGCAAATTCTTGAGCCAACTTGGTCAGCCGCGCTCAACTACATTTAGTATAGTTCCTAGGCATCGAGACCTTCCAAAAAGTTTGAGACGGTCCAACCTACTAGCAAGGGCCTCCAACCTAAGAGCGATGTCCTCCAACCTATAGCAGCGATGAGCTCCAACCTACTAGCGATGGCCTCCAACCTAAGAGCGATTCCAAACT